AGGTGTAAGTGGCATTTAATTGACATACAAATAATTGACATTTCTAGTCTCATTCCTGTTCAGTGCCTTTTGTTCCCTTGTTTTAAAGTAACATATGGTTATGATGAATAGATTAAAAAAAAAATAGATTGATTATGCTTTTCTAGACATTTACATAAACATGTAAACCAGAAAAATGTTAACCCTTTCTTTTCCTCACATATACTGAGTGCCATGCTGCCATGTCAAGATGTCAGATACAGCGGTTGGACCTACCCCTGTGTTTAGTAACTGACAGAGCCATTTTCACCAGTGCTTGTAGGATACTTTTACACCACAGCCACACAGCTCTAAATCATGGGACAGTTTTAAACAGAAGTCTAGTCAAGTGCTGAAAATACCCATCAGTGCTTATAGAAGCAGTTGGGCTGCATGTAAATAAGCCTCAAGAGACCTTTCCAAAAGTGCAACTTTTAATGTGCTACACATCCAAAACACCAGCTACTAGTGGCAGAGATCCAGTTTGTTCATTAGCTACCAGTACAGTTGGAGGCCTGTTAAGAGGCAACCAAGTCTGGCCATCACTGGGCTGTAGTTGCCTAACCAAGCAATCACACCTGATCCCCTCACAGCCTATACACCACATCTGCCATCAAAACCACCCCAGGAGGTTATCTTCAGATATGAACACTTCCTCTAACACCATCATTAGCTGAAACAGCAGATGAAGAGAACCCTCACACACCAAGTCATACATTGCTACAGGCTGTCAATGTTAACAAAGCCACAGAAAAAACCCACACTCAGGGCAAGATAAAACCAGGGAAAGCACTTTCTTTAGAAACAAGGGAAGGGGCTACTAAGACTCCACAAGGTTGTGGGGAGGCATCATCTGAAGTACAGTGTCCACCCATGCTGAGAGAAGGTGGTTCCAGCTGGGAATAGTGAGAAGGCATCACCAGAAGCATCTGGAGCTGACTTTCTGAGCAGAGAATGCCTCTTATGCAGCTTTGCAAAACAAAAATTGGAGGAACTAAGACTGTTGGCCATAAATTCTCCTTAGAGTTCATCAATTAGAGGGGAAAAGATCAAAAAAGCTAAAAATCAATCTGTATCAGAAGAATTAATAACTATACAGAGACCACTTGCAGGGAGTTTGCTGGAACTGAGTTTCTAAATACCAGATATTAAGGAAACTCAGGCATGCCCCCAGGAGGAGTCACTGGCTGTCACAAAGCTCCTTCACGTACCTCAACAGCCTCTGCATGCCTTGTTGTGTGGGAAGGACCAGGAGGCAGGACACCCTCCTCCGCCTCCTCCAAGCAAAACACAGCTAGAAGACTGATTAAAGATCATGAAACAAAAAGAAAGTGTTTGCTTGACTGAAAGAGCTTTGTATCAGGCTCTGAATTATCATGCATAATATCGTATATTTTTAGAAAAAAGGTAATTATGCTTATTTTGTCTATTGTTATGATATGCTTACTGGCATATCATGTGATTTTAATTAATAAATAACTGTGATTAAAAAAAACCCCACAGAATATATTTTTAGTGCCAAATGCAGAGAAATAGATTGCAACACGATAAAAGGGAAATGGCTGGTTATAAAAATCAACAGCTTGTTATTTTAAAACGTGTATATTTTCTGTGTTATTGCATGATTTTAGCTATTGTTGGATTGGGAACACAGCTATAGCATAAGCACTAAAATAAACCCTTTTTCTCCGTAAAGGTTTTCAGTGGCACTGAATTTTAGGTCAAACTATAAAGCAAACTTCAGCCACCTCTTGCTCCCCATTTAAGATGGTAGGTTTATCAATATATATGGTCAGATATAAAACATAGCAATTTCTAGGAGAGGACTGATGTTGCATTAAACAGCGCTCTGTATGCTTCATGAGAAAATCTTGCTCATAAAAGCACTGATGAGCAGGGGTTTTGTGAAAGGAACAGCAAAAGTGTTGTCTTTAAAAGCAATAGAAGAATTTATGGTCTCCGTAAATCAGCTGCTCAGCCCCTTTCGTAGCTTTTCCAGTACAAGTTCCCTGTGAGACTGGGGGCAAGCCAACGTGGACTGGAGGGGAAGAAAGAAATGAGCAAAGAATTATAAACAGAGCTATCCTGTGTTTACATCCATTTACTACATGGAATGAATCTCTCCCTCAGAAAATGGGCTGAAAGAAGAATTTAAATAACTAAATCATCACTGTATTTTGCTGGCAACCTACAAAACCTGCCATATTTTTTTAAGTTATCAGTAACTCACACTAGTTGACTCTCCCTTCCTCCTCTGCTGAATAAACACTTAAAATGAACAAGTGTTGGAATAGGAGACAATATTATAAAATCTGGGCACAGAATAATTGTGGAAGCAGCTGTCGTCCTTACATTATCACAGGAATCAGAGATGGAAAAAAATCCTATTAGGTCATATAGTCCCTCCCTTTGTCATTGCAGGACTGTTCCCTAATGTAGATTTTCCAATGCTTTGTCCAATCTTGTTTTAATACTAAGTGATAGCTTCCAGCAGGTCCCTTGGGAGACTATTCCTCTGCCTAGTAAGTATTACTGCCAAGATTTTCCCCCACTTTATTAGCAATTTTCCCTATTATTTCTGTGTATCTCCAGATTATATTCAGGATGGTAAAAAGAAATACTGAAGTTCTGAAAAATGTTTCAGCATTCCAGACAATTCCACAAAATCCTCCTACAATGAAAACCAGCCGTGGCGACTTTCAATTTTTTTCTGTCCTCCCGACCAGGAGATATAGAAACATATCAACAAGCTGTCCAATGACAAATACACAGTTTGATACCAGACAGACAGAAAAGATCAACCCCAATTCCAAGCCTTTTGACAAGTCCATCTGCTGAAGTCAAACAACAAATGACTTAACCACGTTAGCTACGGATACGGTCTCTGCTTTCTGTCAAATCTGTTTGCTTACATCACAACTTTTAGTTTAGCTTCCTAATGAATTGAGATGTGTGCATTACCTCCTCATCTGCTCTCCACAGGCAAGACTGAAACCCAACAGCCATTTAAAGCGATCCCTTAGAGAGGTCCAAAGGCTCATGGAAATCACAAGCTGCTCAACATGGAAGGAGCCTCACACTGTGTGTCACTTCTTGACTATATGAACAGGCAGTGGGTCTCGAGATATTTCATGAGGAAAGAGAGGGGATGGAAGAAGGTACTTTGGGATGTGTCATGAGGGACAAGACCTGTTGTGACAGCAGAACACTAGGACATGCACCCATATTCAAGCTTCATTAGTTTTGCTGCACACAAAACAACACATTGTTTTATGCAATCTTATGTGAAGAAAGTTATAGACCATAAAGTGTCCAGGTGCAAACATGCACTAACCGAAAACATCACCTAGAACTACAATAGCGTAAGTAATTAGTCATGATAAAATTCCTACATTAATTAAATATTCTCAAGTTTGTTATTTGGTCCATCTATAACAAAAACAAGGAACTTGCCCTGCTGTTCAGTACACTGTCACTGAGCAGTTAGAAGAAACAGATGTGCCCCAGGTCCCACAGATCCAAATCAGTACTATGACTGCAAATCTTTTTAACTTATTTTTCCTTTTTCATCATCCACAGAGACAGTAAGGACCCAGTTCTTATTCACATTGCACCACATGCATTTAACCATATTGTGGGTAAAATATTACCAAATAAAGAGTATTTTTTACAGCTATTTCAAGGCAAGAAGCAGGACAGAAAAACTCAATATTGTGAGGCAAAAAGCCAGTACAGAAATTGCAGCTAGTGTTCTTCTCCCATCTTAGTATTAATCACTTCCTGTAACCTGGTATGAGTAAGTGTACCCCCAGTTTGCTACAGCTTTGACTATGACACTCTTCTCCCTGCTTTCACCTCTCTTCTTTATCATATCGAATGTAAGTTAATTAGCTTTACCTTCAAAGCTCAACCCCTCTTACCACCTTTAATTCAGTGTCAAAGACTGACATCTCTGAAAACATGTAACAGCTTCCACTGGTCACCTCTTACATTTTTGAAGTTTTTTTAGTGTTTTCTTCTGTTTTGCCTCTCCCACTTGAGAGCGCTGCCTGTAAAAAGTAAGAAAGCTGCCTCTATACTCTTTCAGATCCCTTATTAGAAGTCTGTTTTCTGAGATTTCTGTAAAAACATTTGATAACGTAAAAGCGTCCCAGGCCTAACCCTAACTCCATGTCACAACAACTAGTATGGGCTCACTGTTTTTTTCCACTTGCTTCTCAGTTCCTACCCAGCTATACTTGTTCGTCTTTCAGATAGTTAGGTTTCTGTACAACCCCTAGAAGATCTTTCTCTGGTAGAACATCACCTTTGGAAGCTTCTTTGGAACTTCTCCAGGCTTTCTTAACTGATAAAGAGAAAGGAGCAAATGAGCAACCTGGAGAACTTCTTTGTAACTCCAGTACTGCAAAGGCTTCACAATATACAGGAAAAGGGCAGAAAAAAAACCTGGATAATCGATGACATTGATAGGATAACAATACACTTAGAGCCACGGATAAATTCTATTCAGATCGAAGGAAAATATTAATTTCTGACCCTGGGTCAGTTATGTGGAAATCTCTTTTGCATAAGGCATAAGCATACAGCTACACTAAACAACCTCCTTGCTTCTTAGAACAACTCAAAAAAATCCCTGCCACACAGCTGATTTCCGAGTGCAACAATACATTTCAGATTATTAATTTCAGTTTTTCAACAGCTTCAGCCTAACTCTTAAATTAAAATGTGCCTGATGACCCATTCACTTATTACTTCTGCTACCTGGACATTCTCCAGTACCACAAATAGCCATTTAGGGAGTGTGTGCATTATCAAATCATTAACAGAAGAAACAAAAACGAATTATAGAAGAAGTTCCTACTATTCATAAAAGTAACATTAAACTGTTGCATTAACACCCCTTTGTGAGTATACAACCGCACCCAAAATAGCAAGTGTCTTTCTACATTTTGAGATGTGTTTGAATGACAGGTTCTCCTTACCTCCAGCACTCTTCCTGTGATATACTTTTCACAATTGTCACATCTGATACCAAACTTTGCATGATAGTCTGTTTCGCAGTATGGAACGCCGTCCCTTGGGAAGAATAGGCCATACAGCGATTATTTTACATAGGCTTACAGGTTTACGGTGACATTATACAGCTAAAATTTGTTAATGCTTCAACACTTCGTAGGTTGTTTACAGACCTTCCCAACTCCTAGATACTTGTATTTATTAATTTTTTTTTTTAAGAATTGAATAGTTAACGAACTATCACAGCTCACCATGATCCCACTTTCTGCTTTGTCACTGAATTCAGCCATCGTCTCTCCCCTTGTCACAACACTCAGTCTCTGAGACCTTCACACCATTTGTTTTGATTGTGTTACTCATTAACTTCTTCCACATATTTCCCCCTCTTTGGAAAAATTATTATTTCTATATACTACTCTTGCCCTCTTTATTTAGCATCTAATTGACTTAATATACGTATCATCTAATATATATATCATCTAACCTTTTAGTTTAGACTACATGGGTAATTTCTCAATCGAGTATCTTGACTGCAAGATACTTGATAAGCAAGTCCAGGCAAGAATGTCACAGATTAACCATCTCAGGAACCTGATCCATAGAAGCCAGTAATGGCTACAAGAATTCAATCTGAGCAGCAGAAGAGATTATGTTCATGCATGATGTGGTGGTGAATAACTGCTCACAAGTGATTTAATATAATGTACAATTTAAAAATATGAAGAATAAAAATAGGAGTCAATTTTTATTCTAAAATGTAAGAACCAGAACACTTAGGCTATTGCTCTGAAATGAACCTATTTGTTAATTTTACATTTAAACCACAACTTTACAAAGTTGTACACTCAGACCATTAAACCAATGTATGAAAATAAATTGCTTTAGAAGAAACTGGATACTCTTAAAGTGCAAATTAAACACAGTTAAATATGTTTAGTGTGTTAGTGTTTTTCCCTGGAGAAACACAAAAATTAATTTTATAGCATACAAGTTGGATTGCTTAGAGACCAACCTCTAAGTTATCACAATAATTAATTTAATTAATTAATGTCAGGGTGTTTCTTCCCTTGAGTTGTTTTGTTTGGCATTTAGCTTTTTAAAGAAGATTTCATAATAACTATATCTTTATGAGCTTTATATTATTAAATAACAAACAAAAAAACCACTGTACCAAAATACAGGAGAGTAACATAACATTTGAGATAATGCAAAACCTTGTTTAAGAACACCCTTTTATTAAATATTGTTTTTCCAGTGCAAGCTGTGAAATTATGTTATACTTGTATTAATCTAAATCCAAAGAATTGTTGAAAGCCAGTGGGACACCAGCTCTGAAACCCCATCATCTCTGGGCACTGGTGATTGAGTTACTTAGCTGTTCAGGAAAATTTCATCATATCAACACACTTCTCTGAAGTAGAAATTAATCCCAGGTGCCTTGGCCAGTGAAAGCCCTGTATCTCACCGGACTGATATGAGTGTTGACATGAGACTTGGTCTGCGTGTGTGCTTTGTGCTGCCTCTCATTGCTGTCATCACATTCAGTCCAAATCTGACAGCACGAGGGTCTGGAGCAAAAGCATGGTATGTGTCTCCTTAATGACCTTTTTGATAACATTTTTGCTTAAGTGAAACACAAGGAAAGGATAGTATCTGCTTGTTCACATTACAGAATCACAAAGCCAAACATTGGTAACTAAGGGCGTATCTACGGGGCTTTGAAGCATACTCCACCCACTGCCTTTCTATAGCATAGCTGCTATGTCAAGTCCCATTCCAGGTAAATGAACAAATTCTTCTACTTTTCTTCACTCAATTTTTTCTGCTTTTAATACAACTTAGATAATAATTCAGATGATAATTGCTAATGTTTTATATATCTCCAAACATACATAAACAAGAACTAAAGGACACGCAGCACTAAATAACTATTTGGTATCAAAAGAATTCTTAAAACAAGTGAAAATACTCCTCAACTTACTTGCTAATGTACTCTGCATTCAGTAGCTTGCCGCACGTATTGCACTTAAAACAGCCCAAATGCCAGTGTTTGTCCAAGGCAACCAATGACTGCCCATTTTTTATTTCTGAGCCACAGCCCCCACAGTCTGCAAGAGAAAAAACAAATACGAGTGAATCACACACTTTACATGGCCATGCAACAATACTGGTGACTGCAGTACAAGGATCAGTCGGTGTCCTAGTAACAGCTCGTGCAGGCTTGAAAGCTCACTGCTGGCAGCTCACTGACAGGCAACAAGTGATGCTGCACTAATGTTGTCCTCACATTGCTAGAAGACACGAATCATTCAAAGAAAAAAATGACGACTTAGGTTTTCTATAACTTAGGTTTCATTTTAATTCATTTATACTGTGTTTAAAAGATACAAAGTTGTGCTGATTAAGTTTCTGAGCATCACAAATCAGCCCAATAAAATTAGTTTAAAAAGACTTATTAGTCATGAGATTAAAACAAATAATTGAACCATCATATTAGATGTTGCTTCTGGTCTAAAAACTTTACTCAGTTCAAAATTCTTTTTGCAGCTGTGCTAAGCTGAAATTCTGATGTGAACTTCTGTAAGCAGGAAAAAATACACCAATACTTGAAAGGCATTACAAATTCCTGAGTAGTATTGACACTGCAAGAGGTGAAAGTGATGGCTAGCTACATATTTATTATTTATAGAAATTCACTTATATAATGCTCAAAAAATTTGTAAGGAAAATTAAATGCAAAATGTCATAACTGGCTAACATAAGGCAGACTATGTTGGTTAGACAGGCTATATATGAAGTAGCTATACTCTGAAAATTTAACTGAGGACAAGACTTTTTTGGGGGTTGGATTGCCTTTTTTTTTTAATGCTAGATGCTGTTGATTATGATAATAAAAGTGAAATCCACTCAGGTTCCATGCCAATAATCCATCAGTGAAGGGCTCTGTTCAGAAAAGTTACACTGATGTGGGATTTGAACCCGGTTTTCTGTATCCTAAATGATTCCTCTATTACCCTATAAGGTCCAGTTCTCACCCACTCTTCATTAAGCTACATAAACCAAAAACTTTAAAATGTTAATATAGTCAAAATATGCTGAAAAATAGAGATAAACACCAGCAATAAACTTATTCTAGCATCAGTATCTCCGTAACCCTTCTAAATCCCTATATGATTGTATCTTCCAACTTACGTGAAAACATGTTGGGTTTTTTTTTATGAATTCTTCAAGTATACCAACAATATGCTAGAAAAAAGACAAATGCTGAAAGACATCTGAAGAGTCACTTAGAGACGCCAGAGCAGAAACACAATATCTCGCATGAAAAAGAAAGACCCACAAAACCATCTAAAGAGATTTGTCTAGTTATTAAGGAAGAACTTCAAATTTAGGATCTCATTAAAAGATTTAAACAGTCCTCTTAACAACTTCGGGATTTAAGATTCTATTTAGATGGTTACGTGACCCTAATAAGACATGGTGTTAGCACAATTGTACATCTTCAATTCCTGAGCAAACAACAATAAAGGATAGTTCTTATTTTCCTTTAGTGGCTTTGGAATGGATTAAGGCAGTAATAATATGTCTCTCTAACATCACCCTGTAGAGCACCAGTATGTGGAAACAAGCCCAGCACAAAAGCGTGTGCACCACAGATCAGAACATTTGAGTTTTGCTAGTAAGAGAGAACATTTGGGTGTGTGCCTGGATTTAGTCCCACAGTAAATACTGCAGTATCTATTCTTCAACTACAATCAGAATTTTTTTTTTGTGATCTCCCCTGCACCAGGGGATTATCTGGTAATCTAATTTAATCTCACTGCTTGAGGGTTTATTTCACAAACTTAATACAACACTGTGTGCGCAGATGTCATACACCTTTCATTTCGTTTAAGCTTGGGTGAGCCGAAATGCAGCATTTCCTGAGCTACTCTATTCCTAACTGCTGTTTTCTCTGTTAAGTTCCAGATAATTAAAAACAAATATTGTGGTTGCTATGCCAACACTGCCTATTGATGCAATGTCCTTGTCTTCCTGTCTTAGAGGCAGCATCCTTTGGTGACTCACCTAATTTCAACCAATAACTCTGCAGAACACATCAATTTGCTGCTACATGTTGATATTCTTCCCTGAGTATGCTTTCAGCATCAACACAGACACAAGAGGTTTTCACAGCTAGCGCTTTATAAAAGAAACAAAACAGGTAGCTAGGTATTCATACAGTAAAAAATTCAAGGACACGGGCAAAAAGCAAATATTTGACATTCTTCATTACTTTCAAATGTAATGCATAAAGGAGGTCAAACCCAAACTGTCAGAAGAGACAGTGATGTTGGGAGCTCAGTGAGTCCCAAGAGATCTCCTGAAAGCATTCTTGAGCTCGTCAGAGATAAAGAGGCTGACAAGTAACATACATAGTATGTTGAGCCAAGTGCAAAACCAGTGTAACAGTGGGTCAACAAATTACTCTGTCCTTGACTCAGCTTGCTTTAATCCATGGGGTATTATGCATTAGTGTTCTTTTATAATAATAGTTGTTCATTTAAAACAATACAGTCTTTTCCAAGAAGACTGTTGTGGAAACAAGGAAACGCTAATGCCATTTACTGCCTTGTGTAATATGTAGCATAGGTACAGACAGCCATTCTGGGTTTTCCATTTTCCAGTACAACCAGTATGTCTCAGACACTGCTTGTTTATTCCTCAAACACTGCAGGTACTTGGAAAAGAGCTGTTGTAACACATTGGTCTCTCACATATTACATATTAATCCGAATGCTTCCCAAATGCTTTATTAACTTTTTAGATATTTAGTTAACTTTCTTGATATTGTCATTGGTCAGACTCTGACATATCTGCTACATATACATACACGCACTTCCATATATTTGCAGCTGCAGTGCTTCCCATTGACCATCAAATCTCTATTCCCCATACCAAAGAAGAATTATACAATTACTACCCAGTTTCCCAAAGCTCATGAACTCTGCAGCTCCCGGGTCTGCTGGGTGCTGCATATCATGGTGAAATCAGAAGATGTTGTTCTGCAGCAACAATGCAAGACACTGGGGAAAGGACTGAGAAGGAGATGGATATACTCTACACAGTTAAGCAAGATATTTATCTGGGATCCAGATATCTGGGCTGCACCAAAAGAATTGTGACCAGCAGGTTGAGGGAGTGGATTCTCCCCCTCTAATCTGCTCTTGTGAGACCCCACCTGGAGTGCTGCGTCCAGATCTGGAGCCCTCAACATCAGAAGGATATAGACCAGTTGGAGCGAGTCCAGAGTAAGGCCACAAAGATGATCAGAGGGCAGAAGCACCTCTCCTATGAAGAAAGGCTGAGAGAATTGGGCTTGTTCAGACTGGAGAAGAGAAGGCTCCAGGGGCACCTTACTGCAACCTTCCAGTACCTGAAGGGGCTACGAGGATGCTGGAGGGGGACTTTTTACAAGAGCCTGTAGTGACAGAACAAGGGGTAACAGGTTTAAATTGAAAGTGGGGAGGTTTAGATTAGATATCAGAAAGGAATTCTTCATGGAGAGAGTGATGAGGCACTGGAACAGGTTGCCCAGAGATGTTGTGGATGCCCCATCCCTGGAAGTGTTCAAGGCCAGGCTGGATGAGGCTTTGAGCAACCTGGTCTAGTGCCTGCCTGGGGCAGGGGGGTTGGAACTAGATGATCTTTAAGGTCCCTTCCAACCCAAACCATTCTGTGACTATATGATCCTTGCAACATCATGACAGATCAGATATGGACCTCAGATTGCCCTTTAAGAAGCCATAGTATCTATCAGCTCCCCTCCATCACTACATCATTTGAGAAACAAAGCTGGTAAGTCTCAGGTGAAGACCAAATCCAATTATTTTAGAAGTCCAGACTATAGTGTTGCAGATATCTAGGTTTGAACCAAGACTCGCATCTGAATCCACCAAACCCTGTAGCAAGCAAGATTTCCTTCATTTCTACTGAGTTTTAAGGAAGACCTGTATTTGAGGTTTAAATACTTGCATCTGTATTCAGAGATCTTATTGAGAAAAAAGCTAAACTTTTGTTTTCCAAGGTTAGGTTTTTCCCCAAAGATATGCTTCCAGTGGTGTTTGAGGAAAGTGGTTTGCTGCAGTCTGCAGGTACCCGTGCACTGCGGAGGCTCAGTGCACCGACCTGACAGCACGGAAATGCAACACACAAAAAAAATATTTCTCTAAGGTGTGCATGTGTGTGTACAGAGAAAGGGAATGTAAGTACATTAAAGGATTCTGTATCACAGATAATCAAATGAAGTTGTTCTGTCAGTACTCAACCAGGCAAATGATTTCCATTAAAGTCAAAGCCACTTTTCCCATATGACAAGGAGACAAACAGATGATAGGCTGTTAGATTAGGCCTCAAGATGGCTGAGGATGAACGACCTTGGAATAAGAAGGGAAAGCTCCTAAGAGAAAAAGCCATCCCCTCCCCAAAGAACTGCATTAGCAAGAGGAATCAGCATAGTGTCTCCCACTGCATTCACACAGCAGCATTTGCTGACAAACTGGAGACAGAGATAGTGAAAACTTCTTACAGAAGAGATATGTGGGGAACGTAAGAAAAAAAAAAGGCAGAAATCTCTCCTTGAAGTGATCTGGATTCCTTATATACAAAAAAGAGCAATCTATCTTCCTCAGCCATGCCAACCCCAGTTTGATGCGATATGATAGCCATTAAAAATATTTGTCATTGCTATTGAATTGAATTGCTGTTGATGTTTAATTACATATGTGATGGATGAACACTGAAGCATGGCAGCTCTGTTGGGACATGATGTCCCTACTTACTTCGCAGGTTCTGTACAGGAAAAGAGCCGGTGCTGCTGGAAGGGGGCAGGGAACATTTCTGGCAGATGCACTCCTTGCCGTTAAAAGTTACCCGGTCACCCGCAGGGAAAGGCAGCCTACAACAGGGGAAGGAAAAGCATACAGGTTACAGTCTCATGCCTTTATCAGAATCAAAAATCTCATAAAGGAACTGATTATTATTCTGGTTTCTTTTTGTCTACTTGCCCAGTTCTCATTTAGGATTTTTCAGCCACTTGGAGGTTAAAGTATCGAAGGGACATATCAAACAGACAATTGCAAACTCTGATGTTACATCTACTTAGAAAACAGTAATATCTAAATAGACAAAAACACACTGAGCGCTCAAGTCCAAATCCTTGTGTATCTACGAAATGTAGTATCAGCAAGAGTTGACCGCTAATGGGATCAGTTACACAATGAAAATAAAAATGGCATTAGAGGGAGTAAGTACAGGCAAATGCAGCTGCTTTTATGTTGTTAAAATGCTGCACGAGAGTGATGACTTCCATACATTAAAAACCCAGCACTTGTCCTCCCAACTTTGATCATATCAAAGTCCTTTTTTTTCTTAATCTATATGCTCAGAAAGCAAATGTCAGTGAACTCTCATAGGAGAAAATATATCCCAGTTATAAAAACTGAAGTGTCTACATTACTTGTTTACTCAACAGCTCTCCTTACACTTAATTAAATACTTACTTTTTATCAATGTCCTTAAAAAAAAAAAAAGCTTTCTGCTGTGAGCTTTCTTGTCTGGGCATAGCGGAAAAAGCCTCAGTAGTTTCTAAGAGGACCAGATGGATAAATCATTTCATAATGCAGCAAAGGATGGTGAGGATTTAGCAACACATTTCACTCCACCCAAAACTCATGTCCAGCTAAATCCCAAGACAGCTATCAAAACACGGCTTAAGTGGTGCACAAACATAACACAAGCCTTCTGCCTCATGGTGTAGTCCATCTGATCATATTATTTCATTAACGTTCCATTAAAACTGTCTGCATGACAGTCGCCCACAAACCCCATTAAATTCATACCAATTGAGAGGTTGTCTGCACTGCAGAAGCTGCAGAGATGCTTATTATTTTGCTCCCTAAAACACCCAAGAATGGCTTATCATCCATTTGTGTTACACTTCAAAGAAAATTTTTATTACTTAAAAAGAGAACAAAAGCAATGCTGTCCTTTCTTTCTAAAGAATGTTACTGAAATCTATTTTAAACCAGCTAAATAAGCATTCAACACTGACATCCATTTTGGACTGTAGGCAACACTTCAAAAATTATGAAGACACATGAAGTTTAAATATTCTTGTATCTTTGGATATCTGATAATGAATTCTGGTTTTCACCTTTTCTTTTTTTTTTTTTTTTCCCTTCACTACTGATTTAATATTCTAAATATTTGCTACCTTCTTACTTACCTAAAGTTAAGATAAGGCAAAATATTTTACGGAAATGCCCTTTAAAATTTTTCTGCTCTTTGACACAACTAAATGTTCCATGTGTGATTCTGGTACAAACAGGCCCAATGCCATGTTAGATCCAGGAGTCTTACATTTCCACCTGTTCAAGAGAGGAGTTTGTACCATGAATTTTACTCAATAACCTGATCAGAAGAAAACACTGCCTGTCCTGACTCGCAGCAATCCAGTAGCAGCAAGCTCCTGTGCTATGTATTAAAAAAAAAAAGTTTGTTTTAGCTCATAATTGCTATTTGCAATGGATTTTTATACTGCTTTAAGTCATGGAGCCTTCTAATATATGGAATAATGAAAAGGTTTCATGAACATCACAGAACAGTTGAGGTTGGAACGGACCTCTGGACATGCAAATATACTCATTTGAATAAAAATTACCAAACGTGATACACTTCTATACAGATAATGAAAATTAATGACTAATTACCAAAAACTATCTTAACAATGGAGTGATATAATTCAAAGGCTGCCCTAGTTTTCTACTGCCAATGTGAATGACACCATTTAATCATGTTTTCATTTGAATAAAATATTACAAAATCAAGTCTAGAACTAAGCACTATTGATTGACCTAGAAAGGCACAAGCCAAGGAATTTCTACTGTTGCAGAACTGAGGCAAGAACTTGTAACTGACTTCCTATGTGCTGTAAGGCAGTCATCTCATCTTGACTTACAGACATCCATAGATTTATTATGATTGCTGGTAAACTATTTAAAATTAAAACCCCACAAAAATGGTAACCTGCTCCACAGATAGAATCACAGAACTACACTGCCATACAATTGCCGCAGTAACTTTCATTCTTTTGCATAGTTGCATGCCCTGGGAAGGGTATTACCAAGTACAGTTTGCCATACTCTTTACAGGGAACAAGACTGGGACTCAGCTAATGACCCAGCTGGACTCTTGTGAGAGGTCTCAGTAAAACAGCAGGCTGCGCACTGTTAATAATCCTGGACATGGTGACGTCCTGGTAGCTGTAAACCGTTCATTGCTCTGAAGAAGCACTGTGACTACTGAGCATTCTTCTATCTAGTATATTAGGAGCAGAAGCCAGAGCCAAAGATAATATATTTTTTGACTCAACGATTTACCTAACAACAATCCAGCTGAACACAGAAGCCCATCTCAAACAGATCTACCATGTACCATGGACTGTTCCCTTTGAATTGGCTCAGCTACATTAGGCAATTAAACAATCTGAATGAAAATACAGTTAAAACTTAGAGAAGAATAGGGTAATTGATCTGCTACAGCACAGAGACAGATAGATGACACCCACAAATCATGCCAAAGCTCACAGGCACCACAGAGACTCCTTTGGGGTGAGCATACATGGATATCTTCCTAGCCCGTGAACGTATCTTATTTGATCTATTTTCTGGAAGTTTAGTAACTATCATCTGTGCCTTTCCATTCAGAAAGGAGACGGCAACAATTTCACTTCTCTATCAAGTCTATCATGTCTGCAGGATACCTTGCGCTATAAAAGCAGAGAAATCCTCCTTGGAAGTTGTCCACCCAAAGGTAGAGGCAGACATTTCCTTCCCTCACTGGTCTTCTAAACTCACCCATAATCAAGTCTCAGTGTTTGCTTCACTATTTCGTTCACTAGGAATCCAGAATCCATAAACAACACATTTGCCAGTATTTATGTAACATGTGACCTCTCCCTCTCACAAGCAGCCCTACTCAAGCATTTCAGTGCCAGTATGAGTGAAGGCACAACAGAAGGTGGTAACAGCCAATTAACAAGGTTTCAGTTTCTAAGTTCTTTAACTTGTGAGCGGGACTATATATAGCACTGTAGGTAAAAAGCAGCATATCTGCCTTCAAATGTAACAACATCTCACCACCAGTCACACACTGAACATTGCTAGGTATGGGTTTTAATTAGCCACTTATCCTTTTAAAAATATTCAGTGTGATTTTTCACAGTTGAATAATCTATTTTTAAAATGAGAATTAAAAGCATCTTTAAAGCAGTTCTATGAAATTACTTGTAGCATTTTAATATATCATCTGTGATTTGTTTCCCAATGAATTTTGTTTTATCCATCTGCCTACAGTATTTGTAAACCCTGAAAGAACTGGAGCTGACCAACAAAATTATATTGTAAAACATCAAGCCACTATCAGCCTAATCCAGGTTAACTGTGTGCTGACACTGAAAGGTCTGGACCTGGTCTCATCCTTCTCTGTACCATGCCTCAACCTATGCACCCGTGGGCAAGACATTCAAGCTTTCTGGGCCAAAAGAGAATATTCTATTTTTTTCAGAGCAGATGGCTAGCATACTGTTATTTAAGTTGCTGATCTGACTTTATGGCTGAACAGTCAACTAAATTTGATATAAGAAAATTAACCAAAGCATATGGTCAGGAATGTGGGGGGAGCAGAGTTATCCATTTCAGTAGCAGCAGTTACAGTGAGTCAGATGTAATGTCAGACTGCAACCTGAGTACCTACAGGATCAAATTCTTCTGACCTATACCTGGTACAACCACATCCCTCAAGGTTGCTCCATAGGTATAGATTTGACCCTGGATGTTAAATCTGATGAGGCAAAGTGGACATTACTTCCTATCTACTGCCTTCACAAAGAGCAACAAGGACAAATGCTAAGTCCTTCACCCAGGAAGGAATACCCCATGCACCAGTACATCTTGGGGGTCAATCAGCTGGAAAGTATAAAAAGACCTAGTGGACACTGCATTGAATGTGAGTTGGCCTTCTCTGCTGCAAGGACACTCTGCCAACTGCATACTGGGCTGCCATAGTGTAGGAAGCAGGTCTAGGGAAGTGATTTTTCCCTCCGTTCATCTTTTAAGAGCCTACATCTGGAACAGTGTGTACCCTTTTAGGCTCTTAAAGACAAGATTTACTGGAGGGTGACCAGTGGAGGTGGCTAGGTCCAGAGCTGGAGCACAGGATGCATGAGCAAGGGCTGAAGGAGATGGACTTGTTCAGCCTTAAAATGGTCAGGGGATATCTTACTGCTGTCTCAAACTGATGACATGTATATGAAACTGGAGCCAGACTCTTGCCAAAGGTACAGAGTGAAAGGACAAGAGGCAGTGGACAAAAGCTGGAACATGGGAAATGCTGACTCAGTATGAGAAAAAAAAAACCTCAGATGCTGGAACATGGCTGTCCAGAGAGTGTATGGGATGTCCATCCTTAGGGACATTTAAAATGTGACTGGACAATGTCCTCAGCAAAATGCTCAAACTTGATTTGCCTTGACCCAGGGATTGGACCACAGGACCTCCACAGACCCCCTCCACCTTACATGACTCTAGGGCTACAGGTATGCTCCACACATAAACCTAAAGAGCAGGATAGCAAGAGTCCTTCGTTCAGTAAGCACCATATATCAACAGAAGTTTGTTTCAGAATCAAAACGCCAAGAACAACACCCAGTCTGATTTCAAAACATCAGCCTCAACACCCAGAAAAAGAAGCCTGCTTCATGAGATGCTTTTAGGAGTACCCAGTACTGCTCAAGTGGGAACCAAACTCTTGCAAAATTAAGCAGCACTAAAAAAGGTGAGCAATTAAAAAGGTTTAGCCTATTTGCAAAGTCTGACATAATTTCCATGTTCCAGAACAAACTGGATTATAACTTCTAATTTTCAATATTGTCTTAATTTCTTAAGACATACATCTGCAAAAGACCTCAGCTTCTTTCTAGAAATAGCAGTGTTGTATGTAGGACCATATATAGCCTTAATTTTCTCCCTCTTTCTATTTCACTTTTACAAATACATGAACCTATTGGAGGAAGCGTCTTTGGCAGCCCTCTGGAGGACACAGCCCCTTCCAATTAATGGCAGTCTAGGAATAAGATTGTTCACTGCTTCCCACGAATTCAGAGTAAACTGTTAATCTGCAACATTTTTCAATGTATGTTTTTATCCTTCTACTCATTCTTACTTTTAGACATTACCATCATGAAACACAAGAGCAGAAAACAGTTTCACTGGTGTATAAACAGTGCTGGAAGAAGAAGGGGCTAAACCCTCAATCTTTATGCCAGCAAACGTGCAATTCAAACTTGAATTCTTTAAGAGCTAACTGGTCAATGCAAGGCAGAGAGAAAAAACACATAGGATAATACATTATACTGTACTTCTAGTAGTTTTTCTCTCAATACCAATTCCTTGTTTTCACACTCTGACCTGTGGTAGCCCAAGGCAATAACATCTGAGTTGCAAGGGATGCTCAGGGATGAATGGGATAATGTTACTGGCTTTTTTGCACTGCTGCAGCTAACTGTATGCACATTAGGTTTCTCACTGATTTTAGCATGTGAAGCAATATACACTTCCCACCAGTTTCTATTCAAATCTTATCTTCTCTGAAAACCAGGAAAAAAAGGAGTTTTTACTGTGACTGGTTTAGTACTCCACGCAGGAGGGGTTTAAAAGTGTTACTTCAGAGCTCCAGAAATACAGGTTATAAAAGTGCTCATTTAAAGCGCCTAACAATCTTGCACTGCTCTGGAGACCCCTATCACAAGTTTAAAGTGCCTACTGCTGCCAGTGGTTTCCTGCCAAAGTTGGTGACAGCCTTGTTTGGGTTCCATTATAGCAGGATCGGCCACACTGTCAGGCAGTTGCCACCTCGCAAGTTCATGCTCCTTCTGGAAGTCAGACTTTTAACAGAGCACCTACATTAAAGTCCAGCTGTAAAAGGCAACATCAGATGCAGTTTGTGTGATCAGCCAACTGCCTCAGATGGTGCAGTTTTGGCCCATTATTTAAGTTTTCTGTCCATGTGTAAGAAATGAGCACACAAATGGTACTCCTCACTCTTCCCACCAAAGAAAATGCCAAGGCAGAGTGCTTTAAAATCCTGCACCTCAAACCAAATGGCTCAATTTTTTTGCCTTTTACTATTTATTTTTTAAAACAATGAAAAAATAGTACTTTTTTCTGCTTAAGCCACATGTATTTACAGTCTACCCACCTTATTTTTACTGAGGACATCACTCAATAAAATAAATGCTGATGATGTTTAGATAGGACACTCTAAAAAAAAATAAAAAACGTAAATTATGTCTGGTTTGCAAAGACTGGAGTAATTGAAGCAATGCTGATTTAAAGCAGTCGAGGACCTGGTCCAGTGTTTTTACTATAAACAGATGACAGAATTCTTCTGTTGCTCTGCACCACAAGTCAGCATTACAACCCCCCTGGGAGGCACTAATTGAATCCTGCTAGTCAGCAGGGCATCAGTTGGCTCAGATGAAGACAACGTGAAATTTGTGTGTCCTTCTAAGGAAAGAAACAGAAGCAAATCTGGGTCTTTCTACAGAAATTTTAGATAGCAGCAATTAGAAACTTCATCACTGAAACAGCTTTTAATCCAACAAATACGGAAGGTTAGAGAGCACTCTATGTTTGGGTTTTGTTTTTTTTTTTAATATAAAATACTATTGTATCAGGAACTTCATTTTTTAAAAGCTTTAGCATGTCTCCAGTCCACGACATTTGTAGCATGTCCTAGTATTTTCATTGTATTGAAATTCAGTTCACCAGAGTTCTTACATACCTAAGAATAAGTAATTCAGTCATATGGAAAACTGTTCTGAATTTCCAGGGCAACAAAACAAATTGGACCACCGAGCTCTAAACTATCAGCTGACGGACTGACTAAATACAGCAAGACCTTAGTATATCCAACAGCCTGACTGAAACCTAAGTTGGGTACCAAGCTGCTAAGTACAGTAACACACAGGTAAATTATTTATGCCTCAATGCTAAACCCTGATGGTGTGGCTGAGGATACAAGCACATTTAGCAGGAAAACAGATTCAATCAGTTTTTCTTTTTCTCTGAAATGAAGAAATACCTCACTTTACAGAAGGTACTAGTGCTAAGAAAGGCACCAAGAATGAGCAATCCTCATCTGCAGAAGAGCTGTAATACTGACAGACTGCAGGCCAAGAACATGTGTAGCCAGCAGGTAACTTAGGAGATCCACAACTGGCCAATTAAATCATCTTTTATCCTATTAAATAAAAGAAAGAAGGTTTTAGGGTGGGTTTAATATCTTTACTTTTCATGTTTGGTTAAAGTATCCAAAAGGGAAAACACAGCAAAGCTTGAACAGACAGAATTTATTATAATAAATGCTTGTCAGTCTCAGTGTTCTCCTTAACATGGCTATTTAATTATTCCTGCAATTGATATATTAAATTGATATCCTGCCATGAAACACAGCTGGTTTGGAATTTGAAGTCTTCTGCATCAGCACAGGAGGATATCTGAGCTCAGCAGCCCTGCGACCTGGACAGGTTTGCTGGCTGACAGCTACAGTGGCACGGACATGCTGGTTTTGGACTCCACAGTCACCTGATCGTGGTACCAGCACATAGAGTATCCACAATGTGGTGCATCAGTGCCCCGTTGTGTTTTCTCCTTGAACGAGGGGTTACATTTCTTATACCGCTAAAGGTCTAAGTTTAGCCAGAGAAATTATTACAGCATTTCCATTTGCTTCAAACTACTGTGACAGTGCATTTCCCAAAGGTTTGGTGGACTTAAAGTTTCTTCCTGAAGTCTTCAATAGATTTGCTTGTACTATTTCCACAGAGGAGGATTAAAACGCAGGTCAAAGGAATATGAATCGTTTGTACTGCAGGGTCTGCAACAGCCCCACCAACACTGGGTCGCAGCATCGCACACACCCCCATGGGAAGTGATCCCACCAAACTACCCCAGGCTGCTGGGGGTGGGGGGAAACTTGTGTGCTCTGTCACTTGTCACCTCCACGGCTGCTGGAGACCCTCAGTGAAATCCAACAAGTACTTGTTTGTGAGTTCAGGACCTTCCTTTACTAATTTAAATGACCATCAGTTTCTGGGAAACAGCACTATGAAACCAGTTCAAATCTACTCATACAGTATCCTCTCAGCCCTCCACCCGAAGACTCGGTCACTGGCACTGGAATCCTTTGTAACATCAGTCAGCAAAAGATAAAATAGCAGATACCAGAGAAATAAAGCAACATTCGTGGCAAAAGATTTGACAGCAGAGGCAGTGGTAGTTTCCCAAGTACTTTGAAAACCTCACACATAAGATACCGTAAAACAGAAAAAGCATTTGAAAACAAGAGAGGCACTCAAATTTGCTTAAAAACAAAAAAACCATGAAACTACTACTTCTTAAGTATAATTGAAAACTTACTTTTTTTTTTTTTTAATTATTTATAGGCCGGGCATTGGTCTTTCAAAACATAGTTTTTAAATGCAACACAACCTTGTGTAGAAAACGTACCTGCAGACAGCACACACAAAACAGTCTGGGTGATAGGTTTTGCCCAGTGCTGAGACGACTTCTCCCTCAATGAACTCATCACAACTGAAGCACCGTGTGCCATAGAGTCTCTGGTAGTCCAAAGTACAGATGTAGTCTCCCTGTCTCACAAAAAATCCTCCTTGAGCCAGGTCACATCCGCAAGCTGCAGGAAGAGAAAAGGCAGACTCAGAAGGCTGGAAAAGCGAAGCTCACTCTCTAAGATGATGCTGATTTTTCTCCTATGACCAGCACAGTTCCCAGTGGAGTATTTAAACACTTCAATATACAAGCTTATGACTATAGAACAGTTGTGCAACTAAAAACTACTACTTTTATAGCTGAGTTCAGGGCTAGCTTACACAACACCAGTCATGTTAATTAGGTTAAAGGAAATGCATAAAGGATATAAACCTTCAAAATCTAAAGCACCAATGTTACTAAGAAAAAATCTCTGATGGATTACTATTGTCTGATATTGCTCCCGGACACAACAGTGGTTAAAATACTGCTCCCCCCAAACACGGGGTCCGATGCACATGGCAACCGCTGTAAACTTCCGCATGTCTACAAGATCCCTTTTTTAAAATCACATCTTATGTTTATCTGATAAACACCACTCACCAAGCATGGATTGGAGGGATCTACAGAACCACCTGCTCCTGGAAAAAGCAGTTTATAATCTGCTTTATATATATATA